ATGCAATAATGAATTATATACATTTATGTATATATCGTAAATGGGGAGAAATGGGAAATCAAGTGCTGTTCAAAGAAAATGTAGCATGTTCAAGTCACTTACCTTTCGCTAGCGATGCTTGAGTTTCGGGACATGGACTTGGGCGACATCTCAAAGTCCGAATCGGAGCGATATAGAAACGATTCGCGGCGCTGCGGCAAATTCTGTAGTACCAAACCGGCGCTGGGAGAGCCGCCCTCGAGCGGTGATCGAGCGCCCTGGCCATTTTCTACATCGAAGCTGGAACGGTAATGTTGGAAAAATCAGATTAGCATGCCTTTCTTTTAGATGTCAATTAATTGTAGATGGCATATAATTGGCTACAGCCCCCTGACACACATCGTTTGTCAGCCAAAGAAATGGACTGAAAATGACGGAAAATGTGAGGGCAAAGCCACCGGAAACGGAAGCGCGCCTAACAAGGCACATTTAAAGTTTCATTTCGTTAGTCATCTCTTGCGCTTCCTTTTTTTTTTTTTTTTTTTTTTTTTTTGTTCAGCTCAGTTGTCTGCGGCATAAAGTTTTTCTGGCTGGCAGAATTCTCGTAACAAGTCCGTCGTCCCCCTACCAATAAATTTACAAAAAAAAACTAAGGGAAAAGTCAGTACGGTTCGCCAGAAAATGTGAAAGGAAAGTTTGCTCAATTCTGGCCAAGTCTCCGAGTTTTGGGGGAGATATTCAAAAAAAAATAAAAAAAAATTAAGTAAAAGAAACGGCCCTATAACTGCCGGGTCATCTAGACCAAAAAAAGGACGTTCTTCAATTTGCCGCTAGGTGACATCTAGCCGCCACTTTTAGCAATACCAATTTAATCTGACATATACAAGCTAAATTCGACATTATATAAAACCATACATACCACTTATAAAGTGGAACCATAAGTATATCATTGACAAACGTGACTAACTATAGTCTGGATACACAATCAAGAAACAGACTTATATTCAAGTGAAGTGAAAACCAAACGAATTGGTAACTGAAAAATATCAATTCGTATGGCTCCGACACTTACTCGCAACTTTCTTGTCTTCTATACTGCTGAGAACCCCAGCCCACTTCTTGAGCTTTTCAAACACCTCCCTTTCATTTTCCTCGCAAGACTGAGGAAAAGTCGTAAAGAAAAATGATGTTTTAAGTAAAATTTATACCGGGGTCATTAAGTAAACTTGGCACAAAGTTGTTGCCGCTTGTTGCTACTGCCAATGTTTGTTTTTTTTTTTTCGTTTTTAAGAGAGGGCAGGGAAGGTGGAAAGTGATGGTGGGAAAATGTTGGAAAAAGGGGGCGGTGAGCAACAATGTCGCCAGATTCCCTAGCATACTTTGTGGCGCTTTCCCGCAAAAGTTATGGCAACAGCAGCGGCGGCGACAAACAGTTTTCAGTTTAGTTTCAGTTTCAGTTTCCAGATTCGGGCATACACTTTGCCGCCATTCTTTTTGTCAAATTTTGTATTTTTAATGGTGCTAGGAGCAATCTTTATTGTGGCTCTACATTGAAGAGTGCTATTGTTTTGTTTTTGTTTTTTTGTGCATAGTCAAAACAGTTGCGTACGCAAAATAGGAAAATTGATCCTTTGTGGAATTGGTTTTTAACTGGTATTCTTCTTTTATTTGTTCGAAACTGGAAATATACACTTTATAAGATAGAATTTTATTATTTTTCCATGTAGCATGGCAAAGCGAATTATATGCTGTTAATAAAAACTGAAAACCACACAAAGAAAATGCAAAAAATAATAGAAATACGTTGTATTTTACAAGAATGAGTTGAGTATTTAAAATCCGAAAAGTAATTGAACTTGCGTACCATTTCTATTCATTTAATTTAAGCCAGTATATTCGTGGCTCAATGAACTTCTTGTACTTTTCCCTGTTCATCTGTTCACTCATCTGCTTGTTTTCCTTGCTTTTGTTCTCGTCCGTGCCCAATATTTATTTAGTTACTTTGTAATGCACTAGAGCATTCATTCGCACCGTGAATGCAGCATTCATTCCCTTCAAAGTCGCCGAATACTTGGCGCCTGCTTATCCTGACGTTCCAAGGACCTGTCGTAGCACTCGGAAAGGACTCGCACAACATGGAGACACAAAAAGCAACACTCAAGCTCATAAAGCATCCTGTCAGAGCCAGCGGACAAAAAACGCAGATAAACCAAACAAAAAATGTGAGCAAGGCGTGAAGAAAGGCCAAATGGAAAACAAAAGATGGGCGAGTGAAAGAGAGGCCCAGCTGGGCCAACGAGAGAGACGAAACTATTGAAATAAATCCCCTTCGTCCAAACAGTGCAGCTTATGGAGTAGCGTCACCTGGAATATCCGAAACACGTGGTCACTTTAAACGCGATGCACAAGTTGAAAGCTACGAGTTGCTACGGATAGTTAAAAATCTTAAGAGTTACCATTCATTCAGAAAATATGTATTTATACATAATATATCCCTGGAAATAAACGCTGTAGCATTCAAATGGCAGGAGCTTCGGAAATTTGGGTTGAGCTATCCACTATTTACCGACAGAACACATACATACATACGTCTCTATGCTTTGAGCAACTCCCAGACTTTCTTTATTTATAATTGCATACTTGCAGGCGCACCCAAACACAATTACGTGCGAGTGTGTGGGTGGTGCTGCTGGGTTATATTCTTCTTTCTTTCTTTCCCTATTTTGTGTTTTTTTTTTTTTTTTTTTTTTTGGGTGGTCGAGTGGGTTTTCCTTCGTTTAAGCCGTGACGTGCTTCCAGCCACACAGTCGCACTCAAGCCGGATGAAGGCGAAAGTAGCTGGCTGGCGGAAGATTGGCATTGTTGTTGTGCCCAGGGGGGTGCGGTGCGGGAAGGGGGGCGGATAAGCTGGAGAAAGCGGCGAAAGTAGGGGGGGAAGGCGGAAGTGGTAGGTTGGAGGAGTCGGGAGAAACGGAAGTGTGCCCGACGGCAGCTCTTCATGTGCCTAATTATATGTGCAAATAAATGAACGACGCATACTGATTGTGTGGGTGTGGGTGCGAGTGTGCCGGAGTGTGTGTGTGTGTGCGAGCCATTTGTGTGTTTAGGGTCCGTGTTTATACACAGCCCTATGCATGTGTGTGTGTGTCATAGATGTTTGCCAAAGACAAAAGGTTGGCGCTTTCGAATAAAAAGAGCGCTAAGCTCAACGCCCAGCGCCAACTTAATTAGTTTGTTAAACTCGCAGCTCTCACACACACACTCACACTCACAAATGCACTTAAAGGGTGTCTGTGAGAGCTCTTTGGCAGGAAAAACGGCGCGCCAGTCTGGGAAAACAAAGGAAAACAGAAGCATTTTCAACAACAGCGGATGATTTATAAAGGAAAATTGTTATTTTGTTGTGTTCTTGAAGTAATAAACTATGTTATAAGAATTCATGGAGCAAAATGACTAGATTTTGTGCTGATAATATTAAATTTAGTAGGCTCACTTCTGAAACCCCCTTCATTTTTAATCACATACACCAGCATGTCTTGAGGAATTCTACCAACGAGGGTAAGTGGCAAGTGGCCTTTCACTCCCACAACACATGCAGCAAAATAACGCCAGTCGAAAGACCTTGAGAGGAAATGGAAGCCCGAAAAGAATTTGAAAATAAAATAACCAAAAATCCAAAACCCAAAGAAAACTGCTGGCGCACGAGACAGTGCACTGAATGCAGCTGTGGGTGCGAAAAGGTGGGTTTCTAGTGGGTGGATGGTGGGTGGCTCGTGAGAGGAAAGAAAAACTGTCACAAGGCCATTAACAAAGCCTGATACTGACTGCCATGAGGTTGGACGATGATGGAAGACAGAAGGGGTGGGGTGGTGGTGGTGGGGGGGAAAAAAAAATTAAAATTGCGAAGCAAAATAAAATGAGCACAGCCACCCATGTAAACCAACGCTTTTCCACAGAAAAAAAGCTCAAGTGTCTAATGTGTACTTAGTTTCATGTTATAAACACTATTGACACTAGTCGGAAATCCTATAACGAAATATTACCACAGATTCATATAGATATAAGTACCAACAAGTCCGAACTGAAGCAAAAACGCGTTGGTTTTTTCCAGCGTGTGATAATGTTTTTTAAAGTCGAGGTGATATGGATGGATGGGCTGCAAATGGAAAATGAGGGCGATGGGCGGTGGGTGGATGTTGCATGTGCATGTTGAATAATTTCACCTGACAGGGCGTGTCTTGTATGTGTATGTGTGTGTGGGTGTGGGTGTGGGTGTGTGTGCGGACAGGATACGCTGATTTTCATTTCATTGCGTTGTGCATTTGATTAACCATCTGGCGCCGTCATCTCTCGCCAAATTGAGCATGTTGCCAGCTCTTGGCAACCATTTTCGGGTGGGAAAAGCGAGGGAAATGCGAAATGGAATAGCGGGGAAAAGCCAGTATCAAGGGGAAACTGAGGGCTGTTGAAAATGCACAACGAACAATTAAGTGCACTAACCAATTGAGAGGACTCAATTGCGGCCAACTGATCTGGCAATTTGCGTGCCATGGCATGCCATTGGATTAGTTCAGGATTTGTTTGGTAAACACTACAAGCTCAGAGTAGAAAACATGGTTATTAGTAAAAGCCTAGGCCATTAAACGTACAGGTACCATGAATCAAGTATTATATCATCAGTTAGTAAAGTTTAGTTTTCCCTTTTTGACGCAGGTCTCTTTCTGTGCATTTCCCAGCTGCAGCTGTTTGAAGTAAGGCAGCATGACAATGAACAAACCACAAGTCACTGCAAGTATGAGATTTTAGTGGTTTTCCTGCTCTCCCTGCATTTTTAATTAGTTACATGCATAATCAGACATGAAATGCCAAAGCCGCATAGTTTTTCAGCTTTATTATTTCCAGCGGTTGCCTAGGAAAACGTAATAAAATAAATGTAAGCCTCTAACGCGTAACATGGCAACCCCTGCCATTCGTTATGACAACCCGGTGTTTCATTTGCATGTAAAAACTACTTGTGAGCAACACAGACAGTCGGGAAATTTACGCCAGATAGTTGATCAAATTGCAGGGGCTGCAAAACAACCGAGATCCATTCCCAAAAAGCCTTAAATGAAGACACAGGGTAAATACGGAGTGACGGCCACGGCGGCTGCCCAAGTTCTTTGCGAGGATGTGAGAAATTTCAGCACACGACGCCGCAATATTCTCTACCTAATGCACCGATATCTGGTGGAGAATGGATACTATGCGAGTGCCGAGTCCTTGAAAAACGAAGGACGTCTCTCCGACGAGTACGAACTGTGCGACAATATCGACCTGGATGCCATGTACCTGGAGTATGCCAGCTTTTACAACATGAAATTCGGTAAATATCCGAAAATCCTCAAAAAAATGGCAGCCAAAATTAAGGTGGATGTGGGTGGAAAGGCGCAGGAGAAGTCGGCGGTCAAGGAACTGCCAAAGAAACCACCGCCAGCGGATGCTTCTCTGGCCAATTGGCACATTGGTGTCGGGGCAGCCACACAGGCATTGAGTAGCGAACAGCCGTTGCAGATAAAGAAAATGGAAACGGCAACGGCAACGGAATCGAATGGCCAGGAAAATGCTTGCGAAATCGAACACGGTCATTTGGGTGGTGATGATATACTGTTCTCCTCCATGGACTGGCAATCTCTGGCGGAATTGGTCAAGACTTCCATACTGCAGGAGAATATAAAGATCAAATGGTCGGATGTATGTGGAAATCAGCGTGCAATTGAGTTGATCAAGGAGGCCGTGCTGACGCCCATCGAGTTTCCTCAATTATTCGCACATGGCCTGAAGCCATGGAGATCCCTGCTCCTCCACGGCCCACCGGGCAGTGGAAAAACCCTGCTGGCCAAGGCTTTGTATTCCGAGACACAGGGACAGGTGACCTTCTTCAATATAACTGCCAGCATAATGGTCAGCAAGTGGCGGGGCGAGTCCGAAAAGATCCTGCGAGTCCTCTTCCACATGGCAGCGAAGAGAGCACCATCGGTGATTTTCTTCGATGAAATCGAGAGTTTGACCTCGAAAAGGGACAGGGCCACGGATCACGAGAGTTCCAAGCGCTTTAAGAACGAACTGTTGCAGCTTTTGGACGGCATGGAGCACTCTTTGAACGGCGTTTTCGTCCTGGCCAGCACCAATTTGCCCTGGGACATTGATGAGGCCTTTCTGCGGCGCTTCGAGAAGAAACTGCTGGTCCAACTGCCCAATGCGGCGGAGAGAAGTTGCCTCATTAATCGGCTGCTGGGCAGCAGCGTATCCCTGAGCCCCCGACTTCTCGACCAGCTGGTGGTGATCTCCGATCAGTTCACCGGCGACGAAATACGACTGGCTTGCAAGGAGATCAGCATGCATCGGGTGCGTTGTGCCACCAAGATTGGGGATCGAGCCACCGGCTTACATAAGGAATCCCCGGCGGCCATCGAAGCCAATGTGGAGAAGGCCTTCCGGCAAGTGCGGCCTTTGGGCCAGAAGCTGTTGGCCAAGCACGAGCAGTGGCAGCAGGAAAACGGCTCCTAGGCTGGGACTATCTTTCCATTTACTGCGCGGACCCCATATATATTTCTTAAAAACCTTCTATTTAGCATACGTTTTTTTTTAACTACAATAAAACATATGAACACGTTCATGAACTTAGTTTACCTTTTAATGTCTGCCGAAAGGCGTGGCAAAACTAATCTCGTATAGCCACTAACTTGGCCAGTGGTTGAAGTGTATTCTTGTGAGCCTATTCTTTTAAAATATGTTCAATATATTGCACACAAAACCCGTCATTTGTTACCTGCCCGTGGTGCGCCTCCTGGCCCCGGCGATCGTCATCCGGGAGACATATCTCCGGATCCGTCCGCTCGACCTGCGCTGCGAGGTATTCCCGGTGGTCACCGACTTGACGCTGTACTCCGTGGCCGTGGAGCTGCGGCGATCGCTGGTCATCAAATCGGAACACATAGATGAGGACAGAATGGAGGCAGCCGATCTGCGCTTGCCGCCCGTAAAGGTGCCTCCACCGCTCGACGAGGTGTTGGTGGCGGAACTATCCGATCTGGAGAAGAGCGAGGACCTCTTGCTGCGGCCGGATGATCCGGTGCCGGTGGCATCCTGGATATTGCTGTAGAACTCCTCGGTCTCCCGGTCGTAGGTCTCATCCTCATCGTCCTCGTCCATGGGATCCACATCGAACTCCTCGCCTTCCGCCTCCGTGGCCATTGTATCACTTCTCTGGCTGAGTGACCGAATGCCACGATTACCATTCGATAGGGACGACGATTGCTGTTGCAGTTGGTAGTACTCGTGGCAATCTCCTCGTGAGCCCCGGGATCTACTGCTCCCGCTCAGATATCGATAGGGCGCCGAGCTGGAGTTGCTGGTGGTGCTCAGGGAGTGTCGTTTGCTGGGGCTGACTTCCAAGGTGCCGCCATTGGTGACCTCGCCTCCGCCGCCGCCATCGCTGTCGCCACCGCCCACGCTTCCGCTGAAGGTGACCTCATGGAATTTGGATGATTTTCGGCGGGTCCTCGGCCCCATTCCGTCGCCGTTGTTACCCAGCGAAATCGAGGGTCTCGGCCGATTGTTGTTCTCGCCCTTTTGATTCAGATCGCCGCGATGATCCTCCCCGCCCTCCGGCATCAGGGTCAAGGCCAGGGCAGGTCGACCTCGTTTTCTGCTCCACGGAAAGGCCCGAATAAATGCAAAGATGATGAACAACGTGGCTATCATCTTGGCACAAAATCTCTTCTACTTTCCCACTGGGCTATCTCGTCCTCTAGAAAATGGCACGCACATCCTTGGGCATTTTGATTTCGTCGTCGGATTTTCAATTTTCTAATAACACTTGTGTCGATTTATTTTTCTTTTGCACTTGCTCTTATGTTAACTAAGTTCGAGTTCGGGTTTCTGTTGTTTTTTTCAGAAAGAGAAAGAGTTGTTAAATGCGAGGCGTGGCGAGACAGAGGGGGGTGGGGTGGAAAAGCGGAGCTGCAGTTGACAGACACGTGGCCCGAATGATGGATCAACAGTCAGCGCTGACAGCCCAGGAAAATGAGGGAAAAGCCAGGAAGGAGAATCACATATCCAGGCACTAATAATGTAGCTTCAAATTAGATTCGAAAACAATCTCAAAATGTCACTAAACAAAGTGCACTTCTCGCGCACATGCATATATTGCAAACCAAAAGTTTTACATTATATTTAGCTTAAGGTTAGGTTCTCAACTGACTTAATGTTATGATTCGTTCAAGAAGGAAAACCCAAAACCACTTGAAAATCGAAATTTGTTTGTTGTTACGTTAAACGACTGCAAATACATTTTCCACTCTCTGCGTGTTTGCCGTTTCCTGAGCCACGCTTCATTTGCTTCTGGTTTATCTGTTTGCCACTGCTCTATACTGATATACTATATATACTCTATATATATATATATATATATATATATATAAAGTACAGATAGCGCATCCTTGTGCGGGTTTCGTTCCGTGTGACTGACAAACTGGTGGATAAACTGCTGGATGGACTGGTCTATCTGTCTATCTGGCTGCGAGTGAATTTTATGCGCAATTTTGATGGCGCTGCGAGCATATTATGATAATCAATGCACAATTATTGCACACACACATGCACACACACACACACCAGGACATGGGATATAGCGCATAAAGGACTCTAAGTGCAGGGCAACTTTTCCTTTCCTTTCCTTCCTTCTCTCTTTCTCTTTTCTTCCCTCTCAAGCAGCGATTTCGCTTTGTAAAGGTTCCTGCTACTTCTCGTTTTTCCTTTTCTCTTTTTTTTTTTGCCTTGTTAGGAAGACAACAAAAATTGTCCAAGTTGTATGGAGAGGCACTGGATAATACCAACAGCAACAAGGACCAGAGGGGTGGGGGGAGGGGGCATTAAGGACCCCCAGAGGACGCATTCATCGTTGTTGTTATTGTTGTTGTCGTTGCCTGAGCGGCTTACCCAACTGATGATGCTCCTTACTGCTATCTCTGTATCTCCTCCATCATCCTGCCACACACACACACACACACACACACACGCACACAGAGTCCCGCCGTTGACCTAAACTAGCTACTTTTTAGTTCAACCATAATTGAAATGATTTAACAATGAGCCGGCAATGCAGCAAAGGGGGAAGGGGAAACTAAGTATGAGGGATTAGATGGGTTTTTAGATTTTTAGATTTCCGGACTGGAAACTGCGAAACCTGCACGCCAACTTCTTAGTTATCAAATAAAATAAAAAGCATTTTAACAAAATACACCTTTTCTTTGAAAATATACCTCACACAATTGCAAGAAGATAGCTAATTGTAAAAAGCTGCAATTTTTACAGCCAATATTAGCCTAACTCAATTGCGATTAATTAAAGTTGTCATAAGGCTGCGAGCGCAGGAAGCGTAACGAATCTTAATGGAGGCAGAAGTTGATGGAAGCTGCTGCTGCTGCTGAAACCCCCGTGCAATTTCCCCTTTATGGCACGCACTACTTTTTAATTTGTTTAAATTGCATCAAAAAAGAAAAACCCCAGAGGTAAAACCTAGAAATAGCGGCTGGGAAAACTTGACACGAAGGGGCAAAAGGAAAAGCGGCGAAGATGTGGCATCCAAAGTGAATTAAGCGCAGCAAGAACCAGTCTCTCATTTCTATTTCTAAATGAATGTACATATATACTGGTGAGTGATGTCCAAGGAGAAATTATTTACGCAGCATATTTCAAAAAAATTAATAAATGATCCTAAAGCTTAAGTAAATGAAAATATCCCTCAGGAATATTGAAACACAAGTAGAACTTTAAACAACATTTCAATTCGGTATTTCGTATGTCTATATCAGAATTTAATTGACTTGAAATACTAAACCATCTCTTTTTAGAAACTAGAAAATTCTCAGAAAGACTAGACGGGTTTTTTAATGCACATTGAGAACTAAGGACGTCGTAGTTCAAGCATGCGGTTCTAAGATCCTGCTGCATTTAAGAGTGCCACATACTTCGTTACGCTATTTTTCAGTTGGCATTGCAGCGCCATCTAGCGTGAGAGCACTGCGTCACAGGTGGCACTGCAATATCCTTCGAATCCTTGGCTTCCAGGGCTCGCCACCACCTGCCCCTCCAGTCCCTCGCCAACCTACCCATCTGCTCATCTCTTGTGGCCCCCTTTTTTCTAAGTGTTGCTAAACAAGCTGGAAACAGGGCCGCGCTTTCTCCGCTTTCTCCTTTCGAGCGAACATCAGCCCCTTTTTCAAGGAATGCCTTGGGCCCTGTTTGCTACTTTCACAGCGACTGCGCCTGTTCAGACACACATACACAAACACACACACTCTGGCAGTGGTCCACACACAAACAAAAACACAGACACCCACACAAATATTTCCTTTCAATTCTTTTTTCCAGCTCTCTGTTGCTTTTTCTGCTTTTCTTTTGCAACTAATTCCACTCTGGCTAGGCGCATACTTGTACAGCAGCAGTCAATAGTTCAGACGCCAGAAATGTTTAAAAATAAAAGTGCAATGGATTTTGAACATTTCATGGAATCCCTTAAATGTACGCCTTGATTTGCTTTTAGTTCATTTTTAAAGAGATTTTTATGCTGTTTGTTCCAATCTCTGTGAGTTAGTTCGAAGTACCGCTGTTTAAACTTAAGAAGAAATCCTATTGTCCTGCCCGCAACTGTGTGAGTGTATGAGTACCGCTGCTTCTGTGTGTGTGTGAGTGTGTGTGTGTGTGTGCAGCATCCCCGCCCCCTTTTTTAGCCCACCTCTTACAGCTTGTTGTTGGTGGATCCCTCTCGGGGGCTACATTTAAGTAGCAACAAATCACTTCATTGTTTGCGTGTTTACATAATATTTATACATTGTACTTGTGTGCGCAGCCCTCTTGCCTCTCTGTCGCTCTCCATTCGCCATCTCGCTCCCTCGCACAGTGTTGACACAGCGTTTCATTAATAAAAATGCTGCCTCTGCCCCCACCCCCCTCCCAAAAAAAAGGGACAAATCGAAATACGAATCTCGTCAGACAACAAGAAAAACTTTCAGACTGCACGGCGCCACCACACCAAATAGAAACAAAGCCAACACAAGAATAAAAAAAATTAAAAAAAAGGGGGAAACTGAGCATAAAAGTTGACCAAATCGACGCAGACAGTCGAAAAGGAAAATAAAAATTTAAGAACTCTGAAGCGGAACACTGGAACAGTTTAAAAGTACCGAAGAATGGGCAATAATATTAAATTAAAATGCACTAAGGGAATACTGAAATGCGCAGAGATTTGGTTCTCCAGCTCGAGTTACTTGAGTCCAAAAATAGCCAAGTCAAATTGATTCAAAATTACTCATCCTAAAAGCTGCACTCTACTTGAACCCCGTTAAACCCTTAAGGCCCCACTCGAAGCCCCATAAACCAGCATCCATCACTCGAAATTTAGTTCAAACTACTTGGCACTTCAAAGTGTGTGTAGAAGTGGAACTGAAGTGATGGAAAGGGACGGGACGGGAAGGGAAGGGAAGTGCAGTGCCTTCCATTAACAACATCATCAGCGCAGAGCCATAGTAATCATAATCATAATCAAAATCATAATCGCCATCGCAATCATCATTATCATCAGCCGTAATATTCGCTGCCAGCGACG